ATCAGCCAAGAAATGTTGAACAAGATGTGTACCCCTCTCGTCACACTTTGCTTTTGTGTAGAAGTGGGACTGAACCCTACCTTGCACTAGGGTTACCAGGATTAAGTTGCCTGTGTGACAGTGCCAAGCCCACGCCTGGTACATACACAGACAGACACGACGTTTTCTTTCTATTGCCATCCGAAATGTCAGACAGAATTGAAAATTACATGAAATCCAAATACCCTAAATACCTAAATACCAGGGAAGCAAAAAGATGATTTAACAATCCACCCTACCAATTTAAGGATTATCGGGCAGCATGAATACAATAAACTGAGACAGTTAACATGCTCTAACACTTGGAGAACTCAAATAATGGAATTTGCAGGGTTTTTTGGTAATGCTAAAAAAAATAGTCATTAACCTACTCCTTTTATAGGTCATAAATGCCTATAAAATTAATTAAGCAGTAACTATGTGTCAGGTTCTGAACTAAGTACTTTAGGATTATATTATTTAATCCTCACTAGCAAGTGGCAGAGCCAGGATTTGAACTCAATAATCTGATGCCAGAGCTCTTAATCATCCTGTTATCTGTCTACCTATTAATAAAACATGTGGGTTTAAAAACTTCATGGTAAATTTCCTTTGCTCAGAATAACCAACGGCAATTCCTAACCTCCCGTTAATTTTTTTAATAACATGAAATACTAGCCGACATTTGATAATTAAGACATTTTCCAGATGAAAAGCTCATAACCATCTATTCTGCAAAATATTTAGAGCATATTAAATCTGAATCTAAATCACAATATGAATCTAAATTATCATTACCAAACAATTAAATTCCAGTCCTGGTAATATTTAAGTATCTGTTATAACTTACACAGAATATGTATTTTGTACACAGTAAGAACTCAACAAATACTTACTGATTAGCTATTTTTACAGCAGATAATGCATCAAATTATAATGTACAAAGATCTTCCATGGTCAAAATATTCTTTTTGTCAGTAACTATAGCTATAAGCTTTCTCTGGGGCTGAAGAAGGCTGTCTGGGTTATGGACAATTCAAATGTTTATAATGTAATAATTAAGGCAAGGAAGAGAAGCAAGATGACTTTCAATTATTTTTAAAGAAAACAATAAAGATGACCAACAACATAATGGGCAGCCACCGACCACATTCTCTTTCACCAAATTCTCTTGCTGCCTCCTAGAAAGGGAAGGCTTCCTCCAACTATAAAGATGCCTGGTATCTTTCGTCATTTGTCATTACTTAAAATTATTTAAAATTCCGATTAGTAAGTGAAAAACATTTTTCATTGAGATTATATATTTTCAATGGGCCTTTCTAGTCATTTAATGATGAAACAATTTAAAAAATATAAATATTCTTGAAATTGCTCAGTACAGAACTCACATCATTATAATCTTATGTTTGGCCTCTGGAAATTTTATACGAAGTCAGATTTGAATTCAAAGTAGAAAAAATGGAACTAAACATGCAAAAGTTTTTGTGAGGTGGATGGTGTGTATGTGTTTTTAAAGAAAGTATAATTGCTTAACCAGATACCCTTGTTTCTCTGACTGAAACATCAGTAAAACCAGATCCCAATCCAGAAAAGCTTGCTTTACCACAAACATATCAAATCTTTATTGGGCTATAAGGAATAGAGAACTAACCTCTCTTCCTAATACTATAATATTACAGTTTAGATAATGAAGTATATATAGTAGTTATCTTCTCGTGAAATTTTACTCTAGAAAAATCTCCATTCTGAGCTGACGCCATGATCTTTCATTTGGTTTATTGTTTCTCTGGCAGATTCTGTCAGCACCATGAGTCACACGGAGTACTTATTCTGTAGTGAGGTTTACGAAGAAAAAAACCAAAGCAGAACAAAAAACTTGTTCACTGAAAATAAAAAGTGAACAAAAATGATGCCTCATCATTTCTCTAGTTTATCAGTAAATCATTGCTAAAAGGGAAAGGGGCAGGTGATTATTATACGAATAAAAGATGATTAATTATACATCAATTCTATTATTTCACCAACAGTATCTATCATAATTTTAAAAGATGATAGTGAGTAAGTGGGTCATTAACTTGGAATACTTTAAAAACAACTCAACAGTAAAGATGATTAAACAACCAGTAATATTCCAGTCAAATGAAATATTCTTAATGAAGACCAACATTTGTTACATATTAAATTAGCTAGTTAGAAAATCTTTTTTAAAGTCAATAATTCAAATAGAAACTTTATATTAATTTTAAAAGTCTGATACCATTAATTTGGATCTGGCTCACCTCTTATTGTAAACAAGAACTGAGGTAGAAAAATGAGAGTCAGTAGCTAAAAGCCCAAACAATCAAAAATAGATAACTGAATTGTAAATAATCAAAAAATATATTTTCTGCAGAAACCTAAACCCAGATGGTACAAAGGGCATCTACTCCCCATAATTCAACATCTATTTCTTCATAGTCTTATAAAGAGAAGATATATACAAGTGTAACATATCAAACTTTTAAACTCTGAAATATTCCATCTATAAGCAAACTAACATGTTAATTACATAGTCCCTTACCAACTCATAAGCTGAGCGCCAATGGTGCTTTATATATCGTTACTTTGTATTTAGATTTAATTGCATACATCTGAAAGTAAGGAATTAAAATACAATTTCCTGTGTATACTTTTCAATGATTTTGATTGTCCTCCAATTTAGAAATCACTGACACTATTGAATAAAATTAAGTTCCATAAGATTGTAACTTGAGTACAAATGAATCCCCATTTCCCAGTGGTCACTGAGATGGCCAAGAAAATATAAAGGAAACCTTTATTAATATTATAACCTTGGGAAGGGTATCAGTGACACCACACACCCCAAACCTCCAGGGATTTCCATAACATATAGTAGAGAAGGACAAACCTACCAGACTTACTGAATGTAAAAGAACAACTCATTTGTCTAGGAGACACAACATCTAATAGAAAGCACAAAGAATGGACTTAAAAAGTAGGCAGTTAAGTGCAAGACATATAATTCAGATCTCTCAAGGGCCTTTGGAAAGCGACATACATAGCAGAGATTTAACCCAGCCACTTATTACCTAGGAATTTACACTAAAGAGAAAACTGGAGGGACTTCCCTGGTGGCACAGCAGATAAGACTCCGCACTCCCAATGCAGGGGGCCTGGGTTCGATCCCTGGTCAAGGAACTAGGTCTCACATGCATGCTGCAACTAAGAGTTTGCATGCCACAACTAAGGAGCTGGCGAGCCGCAACTAAGACCTGGTGCAACCTAATTAATTAATTAATTAATTAATTATTTTAAAAAACCTAGACAAATCTGCAAAGGTATATGTTTTATGATAATCACGATAATTCGTAATAAATTAGTAATAGTGAAAACTATAATCTAAATGTCCATTCATAAGAAATTGGTATATGATTTTACCCAAATAATGGAGTATTATAATGCAAATTTTCACTGACATGGAATGAGCTCCATAATATGCCGTTGAAGGGAAAAAAAAGATTAAAAATAATATGTGTGGGCTTCCCCGGTGGCACAGTGGTTGAGAGTCCGCCTGCCGATGCAGGGGACACGGGTTCGTGCCCTGGTCTGGGAAGATCCCACATGCCACGGAGCGGCTGGGCCCGTGAGCCATGGCCGCTGAGCCTGCACGTCCGGAGCCTGTGCTCCGCAATGGGAGAGGCCACAATAGTGAGAGGCTCGTGTACCGCAAAAAAATAAAAATAAAAATAAAAAATAATATGTGTATTATGAATAGTTACACACATGAAGAGAGAGCTGCAAAGATTACCACCAAAACACAAATGGGAGTTGTCTCTGGGTGGCTGGCTATTTGATAATTTTTACTTACTTTTTTTTTTTTTTTTTTTTTTTTTTTTTTTCGTTTTGGTTTTTTCTTTGATCCCTTAAACCCCCAGCCACCACTGTTACCGGGACCAAGAAGCCTTCCAGAGTGGGATCTTCCCGAAACGGGGCACGAACCCGCGTCTCCTGCATCGGCAGGCGGACTCTCAAGCACTGCGCCACCAGGGAAGCCCGTACTTACTTTTCATAATGATTAGTATTGCTTAAATTTTCTAAATAAATATATACTGTCTTTGTGATCAGAGAAAAATTCTCTTCATGTTGGAAAAAGAAAGTATATTTATTTTTTAATACCACAATTGATTTGGGAGAAATCATCTTAATATTTGGAAAAATCCATTAAGATATAGATTCAAAGATGTTTATCATAGCACTGTTTATAATAGTAAAAATAGTACTAAATGATCAATAGTGAATTTGTTAAATAAATTTTGGAATAACTATATAAAGGTTTACTATGAAGCCATTAAAAATTACAACAAAGATGTATCCATCACCAGCTCAGTGACCTAGGAATATTACATGTCCTCTAGGTATCAGTTTCCTCATCTGTAAAATGGTGATAAAAAGAACACTTATAGTGTTTCCCCTAGCTTATTAGCTATATCCTATTGTCATAGAAAACAAAAAACCTGATGTTTATGAGCTTCCTCTAATATCACAAACCCCTATTTCAAAACCTACTTTGCTATATGCTTTAAGAAAAAAAAAATCTCAAAATCAACGTTCAATTTGGCTATCAATCAAGCTAAGAAAATATGAATCTTAGACTACAAAGGCAATGTATATCAAAGTTAAAAATAGGGAATTCCCGAAACTTCTAGGCTATTGAACTCCTATACATATTCTCAAACTAAGCTTGTTTATTCACCTATACATGTAGAAAAAAATAGTGTTAGAAGATAGAAACAGGCTGATCTGGATGCCTGTGGCACTGAGACAGGCCCTAATAAAACACCCAGATTACAGTAACAGAGGGAACTGGCATCCCTACTTAACTGAATGATAAAACAATTTAAATATATATACTCGTTAGCTTCATCAGTTTTACCATCACTGTACAAACATCTACTTTGTTGCTTTAAAGAGTTGAAACCAACCTGCCATGGTCTTCCCCAATCGAGTGGAATAGGAAAGGCTCCAAGCCATGTTCCTAGAAAACTAGAAACTGTAGTGATCTGGAGACTGTTCTCCCAAATGGATGTAACCCTGTAAAACACAAATATATAAATTATTGGTGGTATATATCTTAGCTGCTGGGGAATCAAACAAACAGCATAAATTAACACTAAACATATATATATGTTGTTCATTTAAAATAAGCACAGCAAATTGACACAAATATTTGCCATGAATCATTAACAATTAATTGGTAAGAAGATATAAGTGTTTTTCAGCTGGAAAGCTAATATATGCACAGAGTGAAAATCAAACAATACAAAAGAGTGTCTGCAATGAAAGCTAAGTCCTCCTCTCACCCTTATCATCAACTCTGATTCCTTTTCCTGGAAACAACTGCTATCACCAGCTTATTACATATCCTTCCAGAAATATTTTATACACACACAAATAAACACACAATTTTGTTTAGAATGATATACGCACATCTGCATATATACACACATATATGTATATATCCTTCAAAACAACTCAAATGCACCATTTTATAAATCCAGTTTTGCTGTGTGTTTTCCCTTGTTAACAGTTTTACTAGTATTCTATTGTCCAAAGGAAGCAATCACAAAAGATCACATATTATATGATTCCATTTTTATGAAATGTCCAAAATACGCAAATCTACAGACAGTAAATAGATTAGTGGTTGCTTAGGGCTAGGGGAGGGGGAATAAGGAAGTGGCAGGTAAAGGACATGGAGTTTCTTTTTGAGGTGATGAAAATATTCTAAAACTGACTGTAATGATTGTTGTACATATCTGTGAATATAATAAAAACTACTGAATTGTACACTTTATATAGGTGACATACATGGTGTTTGAATTATATCTCAATACCGTTTAAAAACCCATCTCCCAGCTATCTCAGTTCTCCTCACGTATATGAGCCACACCTTCCACATCTGTCTTAGCTTTCCAACAACCCTCCTTCATAATAACTTACACGAGGCAACCCTTCCCACATCTACTTCCAAAAGCAAATTTCAGGTTTTGTCCAAGGAAAAGTGCCATATTTATTAAAATATTTATGCAATTCTTAACCACTTAACATGTATTAAACTGTCCTTCCATTTTTATTAAGTTCCTACATTTTTTAATGTGTTACTGACGAAGTTTTTGAGTGTTATGCCCCATCCCATTTCTCCCATAAGTTCTGTGTTTCTTATTGCCCAGTTTTGCATAATGCAAGGATTTTTAGGAATGCATATGCCATCTTATAGCAGAACTGACTATAGAATCAAATGACAGTGTCTCCCCCAGGTACACCATTAATGCTATCATCAGAAACAGAATTCAAAGCTGGATAAATCACCAATCCAAACCAATAAGGTTTCCACTGATTTTCACTGTTTAAAAATGTCAAACTAAAATACTAAAAGAAATTAATGCCATTTGGGATACTATGGTAACAATGTGGGAAAAAGTGTTCAATGTGACACTTTTGTTTTCTTGAGACTTTATGAACACTAGAAGATGCCTCTGAAGGGGAACAAACAAACATTTCAAAAGGAAAATAATTTATGGAGCCTAGCTACTCAGCAAGCATCCTCTGCTCCACTTGGGCTGTTCTCTTCCAAATCACACAAAAATACCATGTTCATTTCAGTTTCTATAGTTTCATTCATCCCATAGCGTGGGGTGTCTCCCCTTCCCACTTAGTCTTACCAAATCTCTTACTCCTGATCCAAGTCCTTCATAGATCATCCCCCCATCCAGCTCATTCTTCAGTGGTCTCCTACCCTACTGAGTTCCTAAAACTTCATTGTTCGAGTTACACAAACTTAGTCTTATGTTTTTGTTCATCTCATCCTTGCCCCTAGAATGTCCAAGATCCTTATGGAGAGAAACATAGCTAATACATCAGACTCCACACAGAGTTTGCATAACATAGAGCACAGAGTTAAGGGCTCAAGAAGTTTTTGCTGCTGGGTGATAAACGAGACAAAATCATGGGCACCAAATAACTTTCTAGTTTTCTTAGTTATAACTCAACCATTTCTGATACAAATGATTTCACTGCCTTTCAAGAAGTGAAAATTTTAACTTAATGATGCTGAAAATACATACAGCTGCTTAGGGAATAAAATCCTGTAAAGGGCTTCCCTGGTGGCGCAGTGGTTGAGAGTCCACCTGCCGATGCAGGGGACACGGGTTCGTGCCCTGGTCCGGGAGGATCCCACTTGCCGTGGAGTGGCTAGGCCCGTGAGCCATGGCCGCTGAGCCTGCGCGTCCGGAGCCTGTGCTCCTCAACGGGAGAGGACACAGCAGTGAGAGGCCCGCGTACCGCAAAAAAAAAAAAATCCTGTGAAACCTGCACTCGGATGTCTCACCACAAAAGAGGCTGAACAAGAAACTCTAGCTGTTCCAATAAACATTTTTATATGGTGAACCCCAATTCTACATTATAAGATGTACGGAAGCAATTTGATCGGTTGCAATTTTATCACAGTGATAAATTATCCCCAAGGAGGGGTTTTCAAAGTTTTCTTTTGGTAACAGAAACCTTTTTTCAAGCAAAAAGCTAAGTGGAATTCTACCATACAAAAAAAAAAAAAAAAAAAAGCAGTGCTGATCTTGCTAATGTGGAGGGAGAGGCCTATAGTTCTGCCTGCTTGGGTCTCCCTCAAGTGCATGCCACCCTTCCCTGGCCCCAGTCCCCAGCTGCAGTGGGCCCTTACAGCATCACTGAGAACCATACAGTGATGAGAAACACTCAAGGAACAATCAGCAAGCTGCCATGAATAGAAAAGTACCTCATTAATTTTTTTCTAAATTTCAAACATCACTAGAATATAAAATTAAAACTTACCCATTTCTACTGAAAACTCTTAGCCATGCTTTGAAGTTTGGTCCTAACAAACATAAACAAGGTACAGTAGTAAAAGTGGACAAAGTAACTGCGAGTAAAAATGTTTCCAACGCCAACCTAGGAAAAAAACACTGTATTAATTTTTTTTTAAGTGTTAAAGGTGCATATACACACACATGCATAATCTTTTTTACTTAAATAGATTTAGTATAAAACTATTTTCTTACACTTAGAAAGGTAACATGAGTCTTACCAAAACCATGACTGTAGAAAACGTTACTACCAAAATGTAATCTATAAAAAACAATCTAGCAAATACTTGGCTTTGATGATAGAGTTCAGAAGTGTTAAATGCCATACGATACTGAGACTGCCCATTGCAAGAAAACCCATTTCTAGATCATTAACTTTTTCCTCAATAGTCTCTGGAACTTTCTCTGCAATCCGTGGTTCAAATTTAGCTTATATAGGAACCACTTGGAGAACTAGGTAAATTTGTTTCTGACTAAGGCTTGAGAATTTGCATTTCGATAAAATGCTGATGTTGTTGGTTTTAAAACCACACTTGGAGAACCACTGCTCCAGACATGCATTCTACTCTAAAATGGATTACAGAGAAATTATCATTTCCCATTACAAAGGTCTTGTCCTCCCCACTCTATATGTATATGTAAAACTATACATATAGCTGTGTGTGTGTGTGTGTGTGTGTGTGTGTGTGTATTGCATCACTCATTTCAACATGATCATTTATCACTGCTAAACTGAACTTTCCCAAACTATAATGGAACATTATATAAGACATATTAATGAATTTGGCTTTCACTAATTCAAAACTGTTCAGTTTTGAAAAAGTGTTGAGTTAAATTTTACCTTTAAACTATAAACATTAGCTTCTACGTAATTAAATACAAGAATCTATTGACTTTTCTTAAGAAAACAAACTCTTTTCAAGCACTTCAGAATCACATTTACTATTTATAACTAATTTATATGTATCATTATAGTCAGTTTCCTTAGAGGTTCTAAGGGCCACACACCTATTGGTATATGACAGTTTCTCATCTACCTCCCCCTTTAAGCAACTGCATGACAAAAGGCCAAGTAATAGGAACATTTAATGAATTAAGTTATTCCACTGTCTTTTAAAAAAATAACACTGCCAAGGGCAATGATGTCAGTATCCTTCTGTGATCCACTGATTAAACACATCATGTTTTTTCTCTAATCACCAATAGAATTAGCACTTGGTTTAATAAACGACTGTTTTAAAATATAGTTGGCTTAAGGTAAAAAATTTCAGACTTACTCTATTAGTGGTGCTCCATATAGAACAAAAATTACATGAAAGGAGAAACAAGACATAAGAAAGTAGATACAGCATTTCAAAAATCTGGTTACCTAAAAAAGAAATGAATAACTTAAAGAATCAAGAGAATGACTAAAGGACAGCAAATGCTTTGATTTTATCTACAAATACAACTTAGCCCTATAATGTGTGATACAGCTGAATATTCTTTGGATCTGCTCCTGAAGTCAGATCACATGTTCTTTGCACAGCACTGTAAAAAAGCCACAAGACAAAAATCGATCCCCATGTTCCAGTCACCTAACCAACAGTAGAATCAGAAAATGTTTTTGTTTCTATGCTAAGTATTAAACTATGTTGTTAATCAGTATTTATGAAATATTTACCAATAAGTGTGCTAGGATACAAAAAAACACAAACACAGTCCTTCTTGTGTGATGATACACGAAATATTTATAGAAAATAATGATTATAATAATATTTTTTCATTTTAAAACAAAATTCCTAGGAAAATTGGACCAAAAAAAGCACAATATTAAATAATTCCCCAAATCATATTCATGTTACTATATGATCCACATAAAAAAAGACCTGCATGTCTGCAAATCAGTGTGTGGGACCTACTTGAGTTCGAGCTCAAGAAGATCTAATAATAAAACACACAATGAGTGTTTTAAATCATAGGGCAGTAAATGTGTTTTAAATTACCTAATAAAGAACATACATGTAGTATTGAATAATGTTAAGTGAGGACTTTATTAATTTAAATAATAGTCAAGTGTTACACTGTAGTGAATATTCCAGAAAATAGATTCCAATGTCTGAAAACTTCAACTGCTATTTAGTTAAGGAAGGCCAAGCTTGAAACAAGAGCTTATTTTGTAATTTATGAAAAACCCATTGTGTCTTTCAGAAATGCAAAAGATGAATGAAAATAAACTGAAATGTCTTATAAAATAAGATTTAAAGGTGTGATTGCTACATTTATATTTATATATATTGCTACATTGAAGATATATTTATCTTCAATGATGACATGAAACATGACTATACAGGTTCACAATGCTACGATATCCAATTAATACATTGCAAGAATCTATCAAACACTGTAGACAGTCTTCCAGCAAGCAATAGGCTACTGACTAGAAAAAAATCAGCTTCTTTATTCACTGTAAATAACCCAATAAGTACCTGACTAATACTTTATTCATCCAGTAAAACATTACCTACATCTAAAAATCACTTGTCAAGAAATAAGCCTTACCTTGTATGATAATGAACTTCTTTTAGAAGATGCATTTGGTTTCACTACTAAATACAAGACTAAATTGACGGCAGTTACAGAAACAGAACAGATGCACAACCATGTCAAGTGTGTTTCCAGTACCGAGAAGTTCTCCAAGAAGAATGATGGAATGAAGATGCTTAGGATAACTGAGAATATGCATAATAGATGGACATACAGTAGTCTCTTGATGTCAGTATCTTTCATGGTGTTTTCTTGAATGGCTATCTAATGAAAAACAAATTAAGAAAAGAGCATAGGCAATAATGACTTTTTCCATTGTCCTAAATGCTCCAACTTGTCATGCTTGTCTAAAAACAAGCCATGAACCAAAGTCAATTTTCTATGGGCAATAATGTCTCAGTGTTAGAATATGGGAAGATGCATATTTGTAAAAACTAATAGACTAATATAGTATAAACAGCTCTCAGAGCCTGAAAAAGGACAAATTTACTAATTTCTTAAATATCTGCATCTAGTTTCTGTAAAACAGTCCAGTGCAAGGACTAATTAAGCAATTCGGTTTTTTTTCTTTTTGCCAAAATCAGAGGTGAAAACAAACAGCATGTGTTAATGATTTGCCCTGTTGGAAATATAAGCTATGCTTTCTAGAAACCCCATAATACAATTTGGCTGAACTGTTGGCATTTTTATCATTATGGACCCTTGTCTAACATCACAGTAGTTCACATTTTCTAACAAATGCCAAGTTAACACCAGGTACACACTGGAATGGTGGCCAGTGTTACCAAGAAGCTTCAAAGAACATTATGCTAAACTAAGGAGTCCCAGTGCTGCAAAAATACCAAAATGACAATGTCAGTTACACATGCCAGATTCCAACCAAAAGCAGAGCATGAATGGAAGGTGGAAAAATATTTACGTTCTCTCTCTCTCTCTCTCTCTCTCTCTCTCTCTCTCTCTATATATATATATATATATATATATATATATAAAAAAAAAAACGGAATCAACTTTACTGTTATATATATATATATATATATATATATATATTAAAAAAACACGTTATTTTATATATGTATGTATTTACAAATTACCTAATGGATAGCTTATACATAGTATTGACTAATGTTAAGTAAGGACTTTATTAAAGTAGTAGTCCACATGTTACACTGTGGTTAATATTCCAGGGAAAAAATATATATATATGTGTATATTTTATAGACACACACAGGGCGCCCACTGGGGCAAAGGGGCGAATCCAAGCCTTATAACAACACTCTCGTTTAATTCACACTATATTTTTACAAGGCAAACACTTTACTGATAAGGAAACAGGCTAAAACAGATTAGGAAACACTCCAAGGTCCCAAGCTCCCAAGTGCTAAAGCCATTTCAAAACCTAGCCTCTTTGATACAAAGATACGCACTAGGGGGTCGAGAAAAGAATGCATGGCAAGAAAGGAGAAAGGAAATGTTTCTCACAGGTCCTAGCCTCAGCTGAGGGGCTGGGAAGGGAATCCAGAATATAGTCTCTCAACAGACACACCTTCAGATATTTTTCTGGGCCACCCTCAGAACTGCAACTGACTGAAGCAGATCTGGACCTAAGACAGTGAGTGGTACCCAAAGTCGGATTCTTGCTGAATGACTGAATGAATGAACGAACGAACTAAGAGTTGGTCCAGTGTTGCCCCTCCTGAGAAACCAGCCCTGTGTTAGGCCCTGGCGAGCCCAGGAGGACTCTCGTCAGGTGCTTCCTCGGGTGGCCAGGGCCCCGGCCTCCACGGTCTGACCTGGCCCGAGTCCTCAAGCCTTGCAGCGGGAGAGAAGGCTCTTCTGAGCGGCTCCTAGAGGAGCCTTCGCGGGAATCGGGGGACCTTAACCTGCAGCTCCATCCCAAACAGGGTCGCTCCGAACTCTGCCCAAGCCTCAGCCGACGGGAGTGTAGGCAACGAGGGACGAATTGAGAAGCATAATCAAAGAGCACAATCGTGGAGACGGAGAGAAAAGAAGGGACAGACACAGAAAGTCGGATCCGAAACAGGCCAGTCCATCAGGGCAGCCCCTGGGTCACGCAGGAAGGGCGGCGCTGGAGGGGCCGGCAGGCGCGGACCGGCCGGGGGCAGATATTCCCGGCCAGTTGGGCAGCTGGCGGAAGTGACTTGCAGGGCCGAGAGGCTCGCGCACCCCAAGCCTCCGGCTGGGCTTACCTAACTCTCCCGCCCGCGGAAGAGAACGGAGGGTTACTACCTCCCACCATCTGGTGTGACTCCCACCCTGTGCGTCGCGCAGGCGCAGGCCTGTGGGGAGGAGGCCCAAGGCCTCACAGCCAATCGCAGAAGTGGAGAGGCGGGCCAAGAAGGCAGCCCCGCCTCCCCACTCGCGTTTATTCCTCCCGCGGCTTTCCAGGTGTTGGATAGGCGGGGCGGAGGGCGGAAGGGCCGGAAGTGGATTTTCGTAACCCGGAAGGGGAGTGCTACCCTGGCTGTATTGTTAACTTCTATCAGCTGCCACTCGTCCTGCGGCTGAGGTACTCGTCGCGGAAGGATGGTGTGCGAAAAATGTGAGTTAAGGAGACTCTTCTGCGGGAGAAGGAGGCTGGGAGAACCTAATTGGAGTTCCCCGGGAACTTTGCTCTTTCTTTGTTTTTCCTTCGGCCACAGGTCCTTGATTCTAGCCTCTGTCTTCCTATACTGCCCTTTTACCATTCCTGCCCTCCCCAACGACCGTATCGTCCTGTATTTGCATTCAGAGTGGTCTCAGTTTTGCACCTGTTAATTTCCGTTGCTTCCCATCAACCCCGGGTATCATCCTGAACTGCTTCTTGACGTGCTTCCTCCCTTCACAGACCCGCCGGGTTGGAATGGATCTTAAAAGTCACTTCCACAGCATCTGGAGTTGATGGATTTAGCAAATAAAAGTACCGGACGCCCAGTTAAATTTGAATTTCAGGAAAACAACAAATAATTTTTAGTGTAAGTATGTCCTATGCAATATTTGCGACTTGGCTCTGTTTGCTGCTCCTCACTACAGTAAGTGCTTTGTCCCAAAGCACGCACTTATAGGACATTCTTTACTAAAAAAAAAAAAAAAGTATTCATTGTTTATATGAAATTTAAATCTAACTGGCTGTCCTGTATTTTATCTAACAAACCTAAGTCAGTATCCCATCCAATGGCTTAAATGCTGTTTGCATGAATGCATAGAGGATAGAGGCACAGGGGTAGGAGAATCTCACCACCTTCAAAGCAGTCTGTGTAGATTTCACTGGCTTTTAGAAAAGTCTTTCCTCCCTAGAGTTGCCATCCAGTGATTCTAATGCCAACCCTTGAGATTTAGAAAATATCGTATGATTTTTTGACCTCACAAACTGGTTATGTGTTTAAAAAGAGCTGTCATATCCCCAGATCCCTTTTTTCTACAGCTAGATATGTCTGACTCTTCTGTGACAATTTCAAGTCCTCTTATCCTGATAATTGTCTAATTAATGTGACCCACTTTGTTTATATCCCTATAGTATATAAAACTTTGAACCTAGATGCCCTTGAGTTTGAATCACAATTTTTATATTAAGTGAAAGAATGACCATGGATGGTTACTTTAATAAATTCTCAGGGTGCAGAGAATAATTTGGGATTTCTATATTTGGAGCCTGGCATTCAGGAGGACCCTCCTCAGTGAGGCCTCAGCTTACCTTTTTAACTGCATTTTCACTAAGCCTCACCCTTTTCACTTCAGCCAAACCAAACAATATTTTGCCCGTATGTACCCTGAGTTTTCAATGCCTTTCCCCAGGATGTGTCCCTTATCCAGTTTACCTTCATCTTCTTTTCTCTTTCTTCACAGTCTCATTGCCACTAACCCTCTCTATTGCCTTCCCCACAAAGCTTCACTGGATTTCCCTAGCCAAGATTATTTCTGCCTCCATGGAATTTCTCCTAGTACTTGAGCTCTCAATTGTCATACTATTTACTTTCCAGCTTATATTTTAGTTGAATAATTCTTAACTTTTTTTTTTTTTTTTTTTTGGTTCTCTGAGCCCTTTGAGAATTTGATGAAAGCTGTAGACTTAACATAGTTTATTAAAAAATGGATATACAAAAGGTTTGTGTACAATTTAATCTTGTTCATATATTTCCTAAGGTCTACCTGTGAAACTCAGGTTAAGGACTACTATTAGAGAAATCAGTGTGCTATAAATTCCTTGAAATCTAGAGCTTTATCTAATTCGTTTTATTTTTATCTGTACTTTGTACAATGGCTTATACATCAGAGATGCTCAGTAAATATTTATGGAATGAATAGACTTATCAGATTTGTTTAAAGGATCCATGTACAGAGGAAGCCTATTATAAGCCATACTATTATCCACAAATTTTACTGAATAGACAGTTATCCATTGCCCACAGTTAATATCTTAAGTCTCAGTTCACTGGCCCCGACCCCAGCATTAACAGGCTTGTACGTAATATGACTGGTGATGCCATTGTGAACTTTAGGCACAATGTAGTGTATTTATTAAATAGTAAACACTAATCTCCCTTACTTTTACTGTCTTGTTACAACAGGTGAAAAGAAACTTGGTACTGTTATCACTCCAGATACATGGAAAGATGGTGCAAGGAATACCACAGGTATTTTTCCTTTTAGAACATGGAAACTGAATCAGATACTTCTGTGAATAATATTTTCACTTTTATATTATTTGTAAAATGATATGTTATGTGTACAATGTATTTTATCTGTTAAATATTAAGGAATACTAGATACCCCAACAATTTAATATCTTTTCTATTTAGTTCTCTCAGTGACATGTCAGGGTTCCTAATTTCATAGGCAGGAGATAGCAAAATATTTAAATGATTTTTAAGCAATGAGTATATCACAGTAATTGATTTGATTCAGCTTAATTAGAGTTAGTATTGAAAGCCCCCTCTCCTCACCTGATTTTTATATTCTTGAACAAATGATTTAAATGTTTTCACTTTCATAATCATTAAATACAGTGAAGATGTTTTCAAAGGGAAGAAAAAGAAACATTTTTACTGTATTCGAGATCAATGGCACCAAAGTAGTGGCATCTAGATTTTACATTAGATATATGTAAATATAGACCCATTCCTAAAGTCCTACTTTGAGTTTGAGAAATAAAATGATTGCCTTTTATCCAAATTTTTATTTTCCTAGTAAATAATTGTGTTTTTTTTTTAAGTAGTGTCTTTGAAACCTGGCTACTAAATGAAATTTTTAAAAATTTTGATATAGGCTAGTCTATTGGTAGGAGGTCAAAAAATGAACTTTCTAACTGTTAAATGTTTCATGTATGTGTTAATGTGTGAAATGTGTAGACATAACACACTAAAATACATGTATATTTCAATGCAGAAAGTGGTGGAAGAAAGCTGAATGAAAATAAAGCTTTGACCTCAAAAAAAGCAAGGTGGGTATAAGAGCATCTATAAAGCAGTCATATTAATTTCCACTCTTTTTAATATTAAGTGTATTGGAATGAATTTGTTTTGCCTCATTCTGTTGTGATAAAACATAGTTAGATAGTTCCAAGCATGCATAACCAAGCTGTCTGTTATAACCTGCTGATTTCACCCTGTTCATTTTCACTGTATCAATATATAAAGATATTATACATTATTTTTATAATTTCACCAGAAAGCATGACTTATTTTTTCTAGTTCTTAATTTTCCTGCAAATCAGAGGCCGCAGAGAAATGTGGACAGGTCATGAGCTCTGGAGTCAGACCTAAATTTGAATCTAGATTTTGTTACTGTCTAGCTCTGTAACCTTAAGCAAGTTAAACCAGTTCTAAACTTTTCTGAACACTACTTTTTTACCTAGGAATAGGGATAAAAATGTCTCCCACCATAAAAAGAATTTTTGACACCATACCCTATTATATCCAATCTTAAAAATTCCATGAATCCTTCCAGCTGCCGTCCCATTTCCTTGCTTCCTTTTACAGAAAAAGTTTTCAAAACCCTTATCTAGATAGTACTTTCTCAGTGTCATTAAGTTCTATTTACTCCTTCAGCTGCTGTAGTCAGGCCTCCATCTCCACCACACTCCTAAACGTACTCTTGTCAAGATCACACGTGACCTTTAAAACTGATGGCTACTTCTCTGTTCTTAACCGTATTTAACCTTTCGAAAACTCTCTTTTTTGCAACCCTTTATTCTCTTGGCTTTGAGATACCACACTCTCCTTTCCTCTTAACTCACTAACTGTTCCTTCTCAATTGAGTGCTTCTGGTCTCAATCCTAGACTTTTTTTTTTTTTCTATGTATAAATTTATGATCTCTCCTCAAGCGACTTTAGTCCAATGGCTTTAAATTCAAACTGTATGTTAATGAATTCCACATATATATCTCAGTCCTGACTTTTCTGAGCCCCAAACATATATCCAGTTGCCTCCTTGACTTTTCCAATTTGATTTCTGACAGGCAACCTCTTTTTCCTTCAGTCGAATCATAGTCTTCTCATCACTGCTCTATGGTCCAATCTAGCTGTGCAAAACTGGAATCCCTCGCTGATTCCTTAATTTCCCTCACTTCCCATATCCACCAGCGAGTTCTTTGGCTCTGCTACCAAAATGTAGCCTGAATACACCTGCTTCTGTTCATCTCACTGCTATTACCCTCTTCTAAACCATCACTGTTTCTTACTTGGGTATTGTAATAACTTTCTGTCTCCCTGCTTGCTCTCTGGTTCCCTATAGTTCACTCTCATAATAACCAGGGTGGTCCTTTAAAGGGCATGTAACTCCTTTGCTCAAAACCTTGCATTGGTTTTCTTTTTACATTGAATAAAAGCTAGGTCCCATACCATGTTCTTATAGGGTCCTCTGTGATCTGGCCCCTCCTGCCTCTCTGACTTCCTATTGTGCCAACTCCTGCATCAGATATGCCAAGCCCACTCCCATTGGAAGAGGTTTGTGCTTACTCCCTCTTCCTAGAATGCATCGCTAAGAGCTTAACATAGCTGGCTCTTTCTTGTTACTTGGGTCTCAGCTGAAATGTCATCTCCTCAGAGAGGGTCCCTAATCAGCATCTAAACTAATGTCTTCCTTCCTTCCCCTCATGTCCACCACAGTATCCTCTCTGAATTTTCTCTACAACAGGTATTACTATCTTAAAAGTGTGGTTGTTTTCTTACTTATTATGTCTCCTCTCACTAGAATGTCAGCTTGATGAGGGCAGAGGCTTTGTCAAGTTCATCTTTGGTATTTAATAATAATAATAAGGCTTTTAATACATAAAGTACCTGACACATAAAGGTGCTTATTAAATAATGGGTATAAAATAGCATGATAGTCTTAAACTTCAATGCATTGTCACATTATGTATTGTTGACTGACTTACTGATGTCTTCTAAGACTACTCAGTTACTATTGACCAAGTTGTTATGTTTTACAGAGTGTATAGTTTTAGGTACTTCCAGTTCCTTTATTCTCCCAAACTTACTTCAGTGTCATTAATAAGTAGCTATTACTTTTGGGTATTTTAAATATCTCACTTTGGAAAGTGTACGTAAGATTTCTGAGACATTAAAATGTACATTTTGGAATAAAATATGGTTTTAAGAAAAAGTAATCTCTAGACATGTAGGTCCAAACGAATTGAGCTTATTATTAAAAGGAAGAATAGTGTCCACTCTTAACTTCTCTTGTGGGAAGTAAAGTGACATTCTTTTGGATTTGGAAAAATTAACCTTTAAAAATGAGCTGTTGTATCATACCCAAGAGAAGAAACCAGGTCTAGGACAGTGTTGGTATTCAGTATATGAGTACGGTTACAAAAAGTTATTGCCAATTTAATGGGAAGTATTTCCTCTAAAGTTATTTTGCCCTCCAGTCACTTAAGGTCACATTTTTTTTAGTAGAAACTTTTTTATCCAAAGGGATTGCATCAGTTAATTGAAAATGTCAGTTAAAGTGGGCAATCATTAAAAGATACACATACCTTATTTTAAGTCAAAGCACATAACTGTACATGCATTCATCAGTCATTTGGCATTGAGACAAGGCTTTTTGAATATGAGTCTACTTTATAATTTTCCTTACATTAATCATAACCAGAATATATATTTCCAGTATCTTTAAGGTAGAGTAAGAACTGACACTTGTAAAGTGCCAAGTCCTTCCACTTAGGATTTTTCCTCAATTTTGAAGTTTTCTTACCCATGCCTAATTCCATAGCAGTTTTAATGATTCACACTTACCTGGTCATCCTAAAGTATTCATTTAGTTTTTAATATAACCAATCACTCTTTGTGTACTCTCATTACATGAGTTTCCATAATATTTAATTATATCACATGAATAGATTGACAAATACAACTGTTATAAACAGGTTTGGGATTACGTACAGCTGACTCTTTACAAGCATACAGCTTACAATGGAAGGGGCAGAAGTGTGGAGACATATTAAGAGAGTAGCCAGTTAGAAGATATGCCTATCAATTGTAGAGCTTGATAGAGGGAACAGAGAGCATGAATTAATCACATTTGTTACTTAAGTGAGGTTATTTAAGAGTATTTCTATTGTATTGTACATTTTTCTTTCTTTAAAAAAAAATCTCTAGATTTGATCCATATGGAAAGAATAAGTTCTCCACTTGCAGAATTTGTAAAAGTTCTGTGCACCAGCCAGGTTCTCATTACTGCCAGGGCTGTGCCTACAAAAAGGGTAAGTTTCCTTTAATACCATTTTTGAATTCATATCAAACATACTTCTTTTGATAGTGATTTGGATAACATAGTGAAGGAGTAGCCCTTCATAAATTAGTCAAATGCTCTTTTTTCTAAGGCAGAATAAACTTAGAACTTGTCATAGTTAAAAGTATATATTTTCTTTTTTTCTTTTCTGATGCTGTTAAATTATGTTTTAAGCTTCAGGAGTGACTTAAATAAACCAAATCATTTGTATTGGTTAGCTAGTTGATTAGTATTATTAGTTGTTATTAAGATTTGATTACTTACATGAGTTTTTTGTTTGTTTATTTTAGGCATCTGCTCTATGTGTGGAAAAAAGGTTTTGGATACCAAAAACTACAAGCAAACGTCTGTCTAGATGTATTGAAGTTTCTGGCTTTCTGTATGATTTTACTTTTTGCTTGAATTTTCAAGGCATAATATAGATGTTCAAGTTACAAAATAACATGTCTTAAGACAAGTTTAAACCAGGGAAGTAGATTGGTATTCATTTTTTTGCTCTCAAGAACTTCTGAACAGCAGCAGTGTAACTAGTTTTTGCCTTAAGTTTTCATTTTCCTTACAAACACCTTATTGAACTGGAATAAGTGACAAATTTAACGAAAAATATTTTCCCAGTTCTGTATGCACTTTTTATTTATCATTACTCATGTAATTTTTATTAGCCTTTCCCTCTACTTTATAGATATTGCAAAAGTGTGAGAAGGAGGTTATTGATATTTGGCTTTGAACTTGGCATCCAGATTTGGAATTTTTCCCTCATTCCCTTTTGGTTGCATAGTTCTTAGGATCAGCAGTCCCTTAATTAATTGCAGCTTCATAAGGCATTTAAATATCTGAGATCATTATTGCTAAATAGTTCCTTAAGTAATTAGCCCAGGCCCAAATCAAACAAAAGTTGTATTTATGTTATTTTTTATTTGTTCTTGAAGCCAAAGTGCCAATACCTTTCATATGAGAATGGGAATGCAAGGAACACCCCACATAACTCCAAATGAATACACTGGATTTCAGAAAAACACATATTACCTTGAATTCAGACCATCATGAAAGCCAGGAGAACAGTGTGCATCCATGATGATGTGTAACGAATGAATCACCATTCCTTGGGAAAGTGCTTTGAAGCAGAAACCAAACTTCTTTTTAACCTCCTCCTCTTCTCCTTCCCCCACCAAAAATAAATAGACTAAGCAAACATTTTGACTCTTTTTTTTTTTTAATATATATATAACATAGACTGCTGAAAGACTACTTTGAGGTTTCTTTTTCTTTTTAATTGAAGCAAAGTTGATTTACAATGTTGTGTTAATTTCTGCTGTACAACAAAGTGATTCAGTTATACATATCTATACCTTCTTTTAAAAATTCTTTTCCTTTATGGTTTATCACAAGATATTGAATGCAGTTCCCTGTGCTATGCAGTAGGACCTTGTTGTTTATCCATTCTATATATAATGGTTTGCATCTGCTAACCCCAAAATCCCAATCCATCTCCCTCCCCACCCCACCTGCGTTGTTTCTGTTTCTTAGATAGGCTCATTTGTGTCATATTTTAGATTCTACATATGAGTGATATATGGTATTTGTCTTTCTCTTTCTGACTTATTTCTCTTAGTATGATAATCTCTAAGTCCATCCATGTTGCTGCAAATGGCATTATTTCATTCTTTTTTGTGGCTGAGTAATATTCCATTGTATATATGTACCACACCTTTTTTATCCATTCATCTGTCAGTGTACATTTAAGTTATTTCCATGTCTTGGCTATTGTGAATAGTGCTGCTATGAGCATAGGGGTGCATGTATCTTTTTGAATTGTAGTTTTGTCTGGATATATGCCCAGGAGTGGAATTGCTAGATCATATAGTAGTTCAAGTTTTAGTTTTTTGAGGAACCTTTATATTGTTTTCCATAGTGGCTGCACCAACTTACATTCCCACCAACAGTGTAGGAGGGTTCCCTTTTCTCCACATTCTCTCCAGCATTTGTTATTTGTAGACTTTTTAATGATGGCCGTTCTGACCAGTGTGCGGTGGTACTTCATCTTAGTTTTGATTTGCATTTCTCTAATAATTAGTGATGTTGAGCACCTTTTCTTGTGACTGTTGGCCATCTGTATGTCTTCTTTGGAGAAATGTCTTTTTAGGGTTTCTGCCCATTTTTTGATTGGGTTGTTTGGTTTTTGGTTATTGAGTTATATAAGCTGTTTGTATGTTTTGGAAATTAAGCCCTTGTTGGTCATGTCATTTGTATTCTCTCCCAGTCTGTAGGTTGTCCTTTTAATTTTGTTTATGGTTTCCTTTGTTGTACAAAAGCTTGTAAGTTTGATTAGGTACCATTTGTTTATTTTTGCTTTTATTTCTATTGTTTTGGGAGACTGACCTTAGAAAACATTGGTACGATTTATGTTACGGAATGTTTTGCCTATGTTCTCTTCTAGGAGTTTTATAGTATCATGTTTCATATTTAAGTGTTTAAGCCATTTTGAGTTTATTTTTGTGTATGATGAGAGGGTGTGTTCTAACTTAATTGATTTACATGTGGCTGTCCAACTTTCCCAACACCACTTGCTGAAGAGACCGTCTTTTTTTCCATTGTATATTCTTGCCTCCTTTGTTGAAGATTAATTGACCGTAGGTGTGTGGGTTTATTTCTGGGCTGTCTATTCACTTTGAGGTTTCAGACAAAGATTTTTCTTATGCTGCCTTCAGAGGTACAGGACTTCTGCTTTTGAAACCTGCAGCTTACTGTGGAACAGCAAAAAAGTATTCCTCATTGCCAAGTGCAGTATAAATACATAACATGATAAAATGGAAGAATAAGGTAACATGATGATGTATATGGTATAGATATCACATTTTTATTTGTTTTAAAATACTATGGAAAGTATTTAAAGTTTTAACTGTTTAATTTATCTATAAGGTTTTTTTCCCTAGGATACATTCTTATTCTTACCCAGAAAAATCATAAGGGTAATGCAAAATATAATAAATAACAACAGCTCTGAGGGCAGGAAGTATCTTCTCATGCTTTAATTGGGGATTTTAAACTAAAATCAATACAAGGGACCCATAATAGGACCTGGTTACGAGAGTGACCCAGACCCATCAACAGCTGGGTTGGTCAACTTTGGGAAACTACATTTCTCATGTATCAGCTGGGATCTGGACTTCCTCAACTCATATTTCATATTCATGCCTTGACTAGCCACCTTCTGTAAATGATCCAACAGCCAGACTGAGGTTCTCCTATGAAGATATTTGTCAGTATCATACCTCAGAATAGTTTAAGTATTATAAACCTTCATATTGTTGAAATAACAATATGACTCCCATAAATTGAATAGAAGAAGTTATTAAATGAGGAAGAAATTCCCAAAATAAAACATGAACATAAAGTAGTTTTTAAAAAGAAGACATAAAAACAGAAAAGATAACATTAAGATGACAGGATTAAGATCAAACATAGCTTTTATTAGAGTAAATAACATGTTTTTTTAAAAATCTCAGATTGTATTTAATATGTATATGTCAGAAACAACTTAAATTCCAACAAGAACACTTCTTAAGTTCATTCATTCATTAAAATATGCAGCCATCAAAATGGTACAGGAATTACATATATGTTCAGAAGTTTGTATATACAGATAGAAGACATCTGAAAGCTACTAGTACTGTTTTTCTCTTTGGGGTGGAACTAAGGGTTGAGAAAAGAAAGACAACCCTTTACAGCCTCATGCCAACTACCTAATACTTTTTAGCTTCTAATTCCCTTACCTGGGGGAGCAGGAGAGTACTAATAATTTTAGTATCTTAGAAATATATATTTACATACATAGATATGTATATATATTTTTTGAGAATTTCAAGCAGAAGAAATATATACATTGTTCTGCATTTCAACTTCTTAATGTTTCTCCTATTTACCATTTTCTCTCTATCTCTTGTTACATGTTTTTTTTCTTGATCACATGATGAATACACTGCAGACATCATACCCTTTAATACTACGTATATACTTCATAAGAACAAACATACTAAGTTTGGTTATCAAATTCAGGAATTTAACATTGATATAATACTTTCATCTAATCTATAGTCCCTATTCCAATTTAATTTGCTGTTCCATTGGTAATTTTTGTTTTCAGCTACAGGGTGTAGTCCAGGATCATATGTTAGATTATCATGACTCTAATCTGGACCAGTTCTTCAGCCTTTTTTTATCTTTTATAGTATTGATTTATTTGAAGAATACAGGACAGTTAAAGTATAGATTATCCTTCTTTTTGGGTTTTTCTGATTCTTCCTTATGGTTAGATTGGGGTTATGCAATATGGGCTGAAATACTATGAGTGATATGTCCTCCCAGGGTCACATCCAGACTCCCAGAATGTCCCATTGCCTATTATTGGTGATGTTAATTTGATCACTTGGGTAAGAGGTTGTCCAGTTTCTCCACTGTATAGTTCCCATTTTTTTCTTTTGTGATTAAATAATAATAGACCAGGTTGATTGATATTCCGTTCCTCATCAAACTTTCCCCTCCTAGATTTAGCATCTTTTGATAATTCTTGTCTGAATAAATTTTTACTGTGCTATTTACGAAATTGATTTTTCTAACACATTATTCTTTCTGTATTAATTAATTGTCATTCTGCTCTAAGGAAAAGGTTTCCCTTTATTTATCATGAGTATAGAATAAATGCTTTTTTTCTGACCATTTGAGTGTTAGTTACAGATAATTCCTCTTTACCCCAAATATTTGTGTATTTTCTAAGAACAGGGATATTTTCTTCCATAACCACAGCACAATTATCAAAATCAGAAAATTAGCATTAATATAATACATTATCTAATATTTTCCATATTTCACTAGTTGTTCCAGTAATGGCCTTTGTTGGGGGGAAAAAATAGTCCAGGATCCAATCCAGGATAACACATTACATTTAGTTGTCAAGTCTCTAGTCTCCTTCAGTCTGGAACAGTTCTTCAACCTGTCTTTCAAAAATGTCAAGGTCATGAAAAACATATACCAGTTATTTTATAGTGTCCCTTAATTTGATGTTTTCTGATGTTTGTTTATGATTAGATTGAGCTTATGCATTTTTGACAGGAATATCATAGAAGTGATGCTGTGTCCTTTTCAGTGCATCATATCCTGATACCAGTTGTCCCATCACAAGCTGTTAATTTTGATCACTTGTTTTAGGTGGTGTCTGTTAGATTTTTCCGCTGTAAAGATTCTTAATTTTTTCTTTTAAATTAACAAGCATTTTGTGGGGAGATACTTAGAGACTGTAAATATTCTGTTTCTCAGCAAATTTTCATATACTAAGTTTAGCATCCAGTGATGTTTCTTGGCTGAATTAATTGCTACTCTGATGGCTGCCAAATTGTGGTTTTCCAATTCTGTCACTCCTTCTACATTTACTCGTTGGCGTTCTACTGTAAGGAAAAGACTTCTCTTTCTCACTTATATTAGTATGAACTCATAAATTCCTATCTTATTCAGTCTGTTACTCTCATTTGTTTTAATGTCAAATTGCCCCATATTTGGCCAGTGGGAGACCTTTTAGGCTGGCTTCTGGGTCTTTTTGACATGTTTTTATCATTCTTTGAGAAATTTCTTACTTTTCAGCACAAAATGTTCCAAGTTTATCTTGTTTTTTTCCCTCCACCCTATCCCTGGAATCAGCTATTTCTTCAAAGATCCTTAGTTTCTTTTAGTAGAGAATGGTGTTTAGAAACTAAGATCTGGGCCTGCTGGGTGTCATTGTTTCTAGGCCCCTTCAACAGAAAGAACTAGGAAACATATATTAAAAATCACCAGTTTTTCTGATATCTCCATTTCCAATCCAACCCCACAGGGTTCTTCCTTGTCTTTACCCATTCCATATTTGTACCTTCTTCCACAGTGAGAACCTGGGCCTCCAGCATCATTATTTGCAGAACTCTGATTTTTTTTTTTTTTTTTTTTTTACTTTTGGTTGCACCAA